GAAATAAAATAGATGGAAGCAAATGAAAATGAAAACAAGATGGTCCAAAACCTCTGGGATGCAGCAAAGGCAGTCCTAAGAGGGAAGTATATGGGAATACAGGCAAGAAGTCTCAAATACACAAACTGACCTTACAAATAAAGGAACTAGAAAAGGAACAGCAAATAAAGCATAAAGCATCAGAAGAAGGGACATAATAAAGACTAGAGCAGAAACAAAGGATATAGAAATAAACAATAAGATACCCTGCAATAAACCTAACCAAAGAGGTAAAATATCTGTATCTTGAAAGCTATAGAACACTCAGGAAAGAAATTAAAGAGAACACTAAGAAATGGAAAAACATTCCATGATCATGGATTGGAAGAACAAACATTAAAATGTCTATACTCCCAAAACAATCTACACATTTAATGTAATCCCTATCAAAATACCAACAGCATTCTTCACAGAGCCAGAACAAACCTAAAATCTGCATAGAACCAAAAAAGACCCTGAATAGCCAAAACAATTCTGAAAAACAAAAATAGAACTGGAGAAATCATGATTCTGGATTTCAAGCTACATTACAAAGCTGTAGTTATCAAGACAGTATGGTACTGGCACAGAAACAGACACATAGATAAACGGAATAGAAAACCCAGAAATAGACCCACAACTATATGGTCAACTATTCTTCAACAAAGCAGGAAAGAATACCCAATGGAAAAAAGACAGTCTCTTCAACAAATGCTGTTGAGAAAACTGGACAGCGACATGCGGAAAAATTAACCTGGACCACTCAGACCGTACACAAAAATAAATTCAAGGGGTACCTGAGAGGCTCAGTTGGTTAAGCGTCCGACTTCCGCTCAGGTCGTGATCTCACAGTTCATGAGTCTGAGTCCCATGTCAGGCTCCGCACAGACAGCTCAGAGTCTGGAGCTTGCTTCAGATTCTGTGTCTCCCTCTCTCTGTCCCTCTCCCCTCATGCTCTCTCTTTCTCTCAAAAATAAACATTAAAAATTTTTTAAATAAAATAAAATATATTCAAAATGGATGGAAGACCTAAATGTGAGCCAGGAAACCAATAAATCCTATAGGAGAACACAGGCAGTAACCTCTTTGACATTGTCCACAGCAACTTCTTACTAAACAAATCACCAGAGGCAAGAGAAACAAAAGCAAAAACAAACCATTGGGACTTCATCAAGACAAAAAGTTTCTGCACAGTAAAAAAAACAATCAATAAAACTAAAAGGCAGCCTCCAGAATGGAAGAATATATTTGCAAGTGACATTCTGGTAAAGGTTAGTATCCAAAATCTATAAAAACTCAAACACAAGACCCAAAAAACCCAAATGATCCAAGGAAGAAATGAGCAGAAGACATGAATAGACACTTTTCCAAAGAAAAACACTGAAAAGATGCTCAACATCACTCATTATCAGGGAAATACAAATCAAAGCCACAATGAGATACCACCTCACACCTGCCAGAATTGCTAACATTAACAATACAAGAAACAACAGATGTTGGCAAGGATGCGGAGAAAGCAGAACCCTCTTGCACTGTTGGTGGGAATGCAAACTGGTGTAGTCACTCTAAAAAACAGTATGGAGGTTCCCCTAAAAGCTAAAATAGAACTACCCTACAGCCCAGCAATTACACTACTAGGTATTTACCCAAGATACAAAAATACAGATTTGAAGGGGTACATGCCCCCTAATGTTTATAGCAGCATTAATAACAATAGCCTGACTATGGCAAGAGCCCAAATATCCATCAACTGATGGATAAAGAAGGCATGGTGTGTGTGTGTGTGTGTATGATAAAACATTAATCATCATGGGGCGCCTGGGTGGCTCAGTCAGTTAAGCGTCTGACTTCAGGTCAGGTCAGGCTCAGGTCATGATCTCATGGTTCATGGGTTCAAGCCCGCATCGGGCTCTGTGCTGACAGCTAGCTCAGAGCTGGGAGCCTGTTTTGGATTCTGTGTCTCCCTCTCTCTGACCCTCCCCTGCTCATGCTGTCTCTCTCTCTCTCTGAAATAAATAAAACATTAAAAAAAAAAAAAGAACACTAATCATCAAAAAGAATGAAATCTTGGGGAGGTAGAGGGTCCAACTCTTGATTTTGCCTCATGTCATGATCTCCCAGTTTGTGAGATCATGCCAAAGCACAGTATAGAGCCTGCTTGGGATTTTCATTTTCTCTCTTTCTCTCTCTCACTCTCTCTCTCCGCTTCCCCCCTTCAAAAATAAACAAACATTGGGGAAAAAAAAAGAACAAAATCTTGCCATTTCCAAGGATAGGAATGGAGCTAGAGTGTACTATGCTAAGCGAAATAAGTCAATCAGAGAAAGACAAATACCATTTGATTTTACTCATATGAGGAATTTAAGAAACAAAACAGATGAACATATGGGAAGGGGACAAAAAAAAGAAGGGTTAACAAACTATAAGAGACTCTTAAGGATTGAGAATAAACTGAGTGGTGATGAGGAGAAGCAGGTGGGGAATGGATGGGCAAGATGGGTGATGGGTATTAAGGAGGGCACATGTTGTGATGAGCACTGGGTGTTATATATAAGTGATGAATCAGTGAATTCTGCTCCTGAAACCAATATTGCTCTACATGTTAACTAACTAGAATTCAGATAAATATTTTAAAAATGTTTAACAAGAAATTAAACAATAAAATTAGTGTTTTGGAAAGATATCTCTAATAAACAGTGCCAAGTATGGAATAAAAGAAGTATGAGACCAGAAGGAAATGAGAATACTTATTTACAAGAGTAATGCAAGAAATGATGAGTTAATTCTGGGTCATAACAACAGAGATATCCAAGTCTTACTGATACCTACTTTGTGCCAATTAGTCTATTATGTTCTAGGTTCAGGATAAGGAAGGTAAGTTCAAGAGTTATTTAAATAAAAAGGATCATAAATGATTAAAATGAGAAGACAGAAAGAAAAAAGAAATAAAGTTTGGTAGGTGACTTGAATAAACAATGTGGTATAAATCATAACACCTCATCTTCAATAAACTAAACACAAATCAGGCCAAAAAAAGATATGTTAAGGAAGTGTAACCTAAGAAAAGCAAAGGGGGCATATGAGTGGCTCAGTTGCTTAAATGTCTGATTCTTGACTTCAGCTGGGGTCATCAGATGGAGGGACGCCTCTGGCTCAGTCAGTTAAGCTCCGACTTTGGCTCTAGTCATGATCTCACTGTTCATGAGCTAGAGCCCTGCCCTGGGCTCTGTGCTGACAACTCAGAGCCTGGAGACTGCTTCAGATTCTGTGTCTCCCTCTCTCATGCTCCCCGGCTTGTGCTCTGTCTCTCTCTCTCTCAAAAATAAATAAACATTAAAAAATCAAAAGATTTGCGAGTTCGAGTCCCATGTTGGGCTCTGCACTGACAGCGTGGAGTCTCCCTGGAATTCTCTCTCCCTCTCTCTCTGCCCTTCCCCTGTTCTCGTGGGTTCTCTCTCTCAAAATAAATAAACTTAAAAAAAATCATTATTAAAAAAAGCAAAGGGCTACAGCTATGACTATACTTCAGGAACAAAGGTTCCAAGGGATTTACTCGAAATATATACAAAATCAGAATCCTCTTTGAATACCTTTATAAATAACATCGTTAACTATCACTATCCTAGAGATAATCACAAAAGTTTCCCTAAAGGTCTACCTAACATTAAAGCCCGACATCTTTCCTTTGGCAATTTTGGTTTAGATCCAGATACCCATATGATAGCATAGAATAAAGGCAAACAAGAATATTAGAAAACAATACTTAATTGATCATATCTCTACAGTTGCCAACATACGGCCAATAAGTTTATCAAATGTCACATTACTCCTAGGATAACTAGGTAATGAGTTGTGCAATTCGGCTTATGGTTAATCTTTTTTAAGGATTTTTTAAAAATGTCTATTTACTTTGAAAGAGAGAGAAAGAGCGAGCGAGCAGGGGAGGGGCAGAGAGGCACAGAACCTGAAGCAGGCTCCAGGCTCTGAACTGTCAGTACAGTGCCTGCCATGGGGCTCAAACTCATAACCAGGAGATCATGACCTCAGCAGAAGTGGGACATTTAACCAACTGAGCCAGCTAGGTGACCCAAGGATTTTTTTGTTTGTTTTTAAGTAATCTCTACATCTACCATGGGGTTCAAACTCACAACCCTAAGATCAAAAATCACATGCTCTACTAACTGAGCCAACCAGGAGCCCCAACCGATGGTTAATCTTTAATTACCAATTTCTTACTAGACTTTTAAAATAGGTTCAAATTATTTCTGTGGTTAAATTTCCCAGGCACTAGAAGCATTCAATGATATAAGTTTCTAGGTTTTTCACTGAGTCCAACTTGAAAGAAATTCAGTGCCATTTCCATGTATCTGGTTTTACAACATACTTTCGTGATAATGAATTTTTAAAAGGGGTAGGGGAGAAGGGAAGGAATGAATGGGGATACAAGCCCTTACATTCTTCAGAAATGAATTCCATTTTCACTGCTGTTCCTAAGACTTACTTCAACCTGTTTGATAAAGATTATAATTATCATTAAGTACACAAAATAAACTCTTAAGTTCTTCGATACGAAGTGATGAAAACATTCTCTTTATCAAAAGAGGCTTCATATCTCATTAATTACATTAGACTATGAAATCTTACCCATGAAAGACTAGATCAAATGCTAATTGCTATTTCCAAATAGCTGATTATAAGTTATAAAACTCTCTTTTAACAACAGAAAGATTTGGTTATAACTCTTAAGTGCATTGCCTAACCTTATATATTAGAAAAGACATTCTGAGAGGAATTGCATGAGCCTGTAGCTACAAAGTGTGGGGGGAGGTAGGTGGAGGGGAGGAAAAAGAAAAATCAGTATGACTAATACAGTAAGAATTAGAAAATATCCTCAAAGTATCTTTATGTGGGGCATAACAAGTGCTTGCATTTGTAAAAAGAAAGAAAAAGAAACCCAAAATTATGGGGAATAGAGGTATTACCTGAGGGCAGGAAATTCAGACAAAAGGTCCCTATTCCTGGTGAAAGCAAGCAGTCAGTTGCCAGGGTTTCTTAGATTCCTTGATTAGGAAATTCACAGCACACCAATCTCCACCACAGCCAGCAGGGGTCGCTGTAGGGAATGGGTACACAGGGGACATAGGAGGGAGCAAATTTAAGGGAAGGAAGAGGAAAGGAATGATATGATAAAAATATTTAGCTGTGACGCACTTTTAAAAAATACAGTTGTATTTCACACTGGAATAATACCACTGCTTAAATTCTAAGATAAATTAACCACTTATGATTTCCTTCTTTCTCTCCACCAGTGGTATTACTACTATTCTAATAATTTTTTTATTTTTTATATTAAAAATATTAATTAACAAAAATGAGGTCACTCTGATGTACAAAAGTGATACAAAGACTGAGCTGTATAATTCAACATCAAATGAAACCAATTAGGACAAACACTCTAAAAGACCAGTGATTTACAAATATAAATTATCAAATTAGTTTAACTGCCCAAAAAACTCATTTAAAACTGTAATCCTCAATTCACTTAATGGAGAATACTAAAGAGTAAAGTTAGCTATGAAAAGTAACTCACAAGCCAAAGAGAGATCTGGCAATAAATTATATCTATTATGTACTAGAAAGCAAATTAGAGAACTATAGTATTTATCAGAAAAAAGCTTTTAATTTAAATTTTTGGGGTATGAGTCATCTCCAAAAATGAATTCAGGACAACCAATATATCCTATGTATTCCAAGAAGGCCAAAGTAACATAAATCTCTTCTCCAGTCAGCTGAAAATGTTTCTCAACAACTACTATGTACAATAGTACTGTGGGAGAGGCTAACGGAACAACAGCGAATAAGAGAAGTACAATCACTGCCTTCAGAATTCAGTCTATCAGGGTGACTCTGCTCTTAAAGATTGGACAATCTAGAGGGCACCTACATGCAATTCCTGAGGTCAAGCCTTTGTTAGGCATGGAGTCTACTTTAAAAAAAATTTTTTTTTAATTTAAAATAAACAGAGAGCTATGACAATCTACAGAACTAAAAACATAAAACTTTGGTTGTAATAAAACAATATACTGGGGCGCCTGGGTGACTCAGTCGGTTGAGCGTCCGACTTCAGCTCAGGTCATGATCGCATGGTTCATGAGTTCGAACCCCGCACCGGGCTCTGTGCTGACAGCTAGCTCAGAGCCTGGAGCCCGTCTCCAGATTCTATGTCTCCCTCTCTCTCTGAACCTCCCCTGCTCATGCTGTCTCTATCTCTCTCTCAAGAATAAATAAAACATTAAAAAAATTTTTAAGAAAAAACAATATTGTTTAAGACCTAAAGGAGTTAAAAAATGAAGACAACCAGGGAAGATTAGCCTAGTTAAAGCTGCCTATGTAAGATGTACATGTAAAATGAAGCACAAGAGAATGACCTGTCAGGAAGGAATGTAGACAATCTGGCTGCAGTAAGTAAGACAACAAAAGATGGGTGAAAAACAAAAAAGGGAAAAAAGTGTAGTAGTGGAAAACAATGAGGAAAAATTGCAGTCAAATTTCTAAGGTCTAAAGTATCCTTAACTTTTCTAAATGATTGCTTTAAATACTCCCTTGGTATGCATGCCACTGTCCAAGCAAACAGATTTAATAACTCTCCATTTTATATCACATATGATATGCTGTTCTCTATATGCTTTTATTTCATTATCTCTTTACAAGTTTCTCTGGACTTAGACCACCTCTGTCTCAAAGTCTATACTTCCATTAAAGTTGCACATAGTACTTTGTGCCTCTCTCTTAAGTCTTACATTTTCTCTTGTTTTCTATTTACTCATCTACCATACTGTTTTCAGAAGGCATTTCTAGATTCTTAATTTTATTTATATATCTAATAGATCCTCTTTAAGCATTGGTAGAAAGAACAAATGAATAACTTATCAGTGGGGATAATTATAATACTTCTTAAAAATAATATGCATCCTACATTTTATAATGCCCTTTTTATAGTATAGCTTATATATAAAGTTGCATCAGAGCAGAAGAAAACTTAGAAACAGAAAGTGAATTTAACATCTAACAATACAGTTTTACCAAATTTAAAAATGACTGAATTTCCTGGTATTTCTAAGTTTATTTCTAAATATTAATTCCTAACAATAAAATCACAAACAAAAGGTTTACAAAGAAACAACAGTAGAGGAAAACAACACTTGATGCTATGCTAACAGTGGCAAAATGAAGCCAGAGAGCTCTCTCTTATGGTATTTTTGGGTAGAAAAGAGTACATAAACATACAGCTAAAATTAAGTCTTAATGAATAGACTAATCTAGAGATTCAAAATTTATATATAACATTCATTTTGGCTTGGAGAAATCTCAAAATAAATCAATGAAAATCAGACGGACTAACAGTAAATCTAATGTCTGGAAAAAGTAAACAATAATTATTATATCCTGAATCATATTTGCCGAAGCTCTCAATTTTGTTTTAATAACTTGGTCTGGATGGGATAACTGCTCATATTTCACTCACAGAAATACTCATAAAGTCTTCCACTTGTAACTTACATTCAATCTGAGCTCAGTCACTAATACCAACTAGTTAAATACTACATTACTCATCCTAACATATGCAATATAATATGCAGAATATAGTATACATAGAGCTGATAAAAGAGCAACTTACTAAGGAAATGTTTAGATTGGAAACTGCAGTATTAGGGCAAAGTGTAATATTGCAAAAAGAAATATTGCAGAAAAGTTATGCAAGCATAAAGAAATGGAGAAATTGTGCTTTCCCAACATCACAGAATTGCTAAGTCAAAAGACTATGTTTCCCAAGCTTCAAAGGACTACAGAGTCAAAAGATTCCCAAATAATAAAAGAATCTCCTAAAGGATACTGCAACACGCTGATGAAATACCACAAAATAGTAAGACTGGAATTTTATAATAAATAAATGCTGAAGGGCAGCTGGGTGGCTCAGTCAGTTAAGTGTCGGACTTCAGCTCAGATCGTGACCTCACAGTTCATGAGTTTGAGCCCCACTTTGGGCTCTGTGCTGATAGCTCTGAGCCTGAAGCCTGCTTCAAATTCTGTGTCTCCCTCTCTCTCTCCTCCTCCCCCTTGCTCTGTCTCTCTCTCAAAAAGGAATAAACATTAAAAATTTTATTTCTTTAAAAATAAATAAATGCTGAAAACTGAGTAAAAGAAAAGCAAACTGTTAAATATAAACAATAGCCTGCGCAGGCAGCATAGAATAATCAAATTAAAGGTAATTGGATCAGTGACTCAACCAGTCAACACTACCTGTCAAACCTTGGGCAAATCACAAATCTTAACATTTTAATAATTTCCATCTCAGAGAATGGAATAAATCTATTCTGATTTTAGAATGGTAATATTACAACATCCAATGGACCAGGCATCCAAACCCCCTTTCAACTAATGTTTGCAAATCTATCTCCTGAAACTACTTTTGAAGACTCAATATCTGGTTTTAGTTGGAAATTAGTGTGAAAGAAATGGGCACCTGCTCAATACCTCTACATCGTGTACTTAACAACAAAAAATACAACACAATAAAGTCCACCCCTTAAAACTCATCTCACAATTCACTTCACTGTAATTACACACTGTATAAATCAAAGGACAACCACACACAAAACACTGGACATTGGTGCTGTTAGACATGTAAACCAGACTAACACCATGATGGCCACTCTGATCTGAAGCCTTCTTGATAACAGTCCCCACCCCCATTCTTTCCTTTTGTTTGACAGCACCCTTAAGTACATCCTTGGGACAAAACACTTTTTTATCTGCTCTAGAGGTGTGATATATCATATACCTATTCTCTCAAACATTTTCCTTCCTCGTGGTCTCCTAGTATGTACTTCCCAGCCTCTAGAGTTATAAAAGCAAGTTTTACAGGAAGTGGGGTTGTGGAGATCTACCCGTCTTGAAGCCACCCAAGACATGCTTCTGTCCATGAGTCCCCCTAATAAAACTATTTCTCATCAAGCTGAACTTGCTGGTGTTTTTCCTGGTCTTATCGTTCCTTGGGCCTTTGAAGGTCATTTTGCATAAACTTCCATTTTACAGAAGAGCAGACTAAAATAAAATGTATAGTCTTAAATTAGTTCACAAATAGAAGGGATCTCCATTCAGATATCTAAGACATTCAAATTAACACAAATTAAAACCAAACTTCACGTCTCTACCATAAGCCTGCCCCTCCGCAGTCTTCTACTTTGTTAACAGTAACTCCATCTTGTCAGTTGCTTATGTCATGACTGTTCTTTCTCTCTCAATCTTCATCTTATCTGTCAGCAAATCATGTGGTTCTACCTTTGAAACACATCTAGAACCTTACTGTATCTCAACAAGTCCACTGCACTGACCTAGATACAAGCCAATACCTTTCTCACCTGGATAGTTAACATTTTTAATATTTTTTAATGTTTAACTGAGAGAGAGAGACAGAGCACGAGTGGGGGAAGAAGCAGAGAGAAAGGGAAAACAATCCAGAATCTGAAGCAGGTTCCAGGCTCTGAGCTGTCAGCACAGAGCCTGATGAGGGGCTCAAACCCACAAACCTCAAGATCATGACCTGAGCTGAAGTCAGATGCTCAACCATGCAGGCGCCCCTTGTTAACACTTTTTAACTGGACTCCTGCTTCTGCCCTTGTCCTCCTATTATTTATTTCCCACTTGGCTGCCAAGTGATCCTTGGCTCAAAGTCTTCCAGTGGCTTCCAGACTCACTCAGGGTAAAAAACCAAAGTCATTACAAGGCCCCACAAGGCCTGGCTCTATTTTCTCTTTGACCTCATCTTCCTTCACTCCTCACTCCACTTCACTCATGTTGGTGGCCTTGATATATTTCAAAAGTGACAAGCAAACTTCCACATTTGGATCTCTGCATTTGCTTCCACCACCTCTTTCATATCTCTTCTCAAATATCACCTTCTCAATTAGGCCTTCTTGATTTAAAATCGCCAGATTTAAAATTTTAAATTGCAAACTCCATCCCTACCTCCCTGCACTTCCTATCCCCTTTTCCTGTGTTATTTTTTTTTAATTTTTAAACATTTGTATTTATTTATTTTGACAGAGAGAA